GGGGGGGGCGGTAATTGCATCAAAATACCGGAAATGGTCCATAAAAGATGAATTGAGGGTGGGGTGGGGGGGGGGGGTTCACGTGGATTGCAATTGGAGGGCCATCTAGTGGCTTCACATGTTTTAAAATTCCCTTACCTGTGAGACATACTTCTTGTGCTCAGACTCCAGAGAGAGGGAGGGATGACCATCTTGAGCTGGTTTGCCTCAATTTTTGATTGGCTGGAGCAAATTCAACCATGAACTGGACAAAAAACAAACCAACTAATCGATGAATGTTAGTTGGCTTCCTGCTATGTTGTGATTTTCTATTGGTAATGGCGTGGAACTTATATGTTTATGAAGTGTTATTTCAATTCCGATCCACTCTAGAATTTTGTTTCGGCTTCCAATCGGTAGCAATAATTTTTAACCAATTGACTTATGGTAACATGTTCTGACGTTATTTCTACATATTTCATTACTGATTCTTGGGTGGAAAAGCCATTTGAACTTCCTGCTATCCAGTTGTATTTGGGTAGAGCTTTTTATAAAAATTTTAATTTTGAATGAGATCGTGCAACACCTTCTCAGGCATGTTTTATTACCATTTCATTTATCTACTTCAGACGTCGTCCTCAAAGTAGGCAGGATCCCATATTTCCAAAATCTGCACTCACCACTTCCTCTCTACCTCTTCTGAGCTGTGGCCTCGTAGCCTTGCCCTACACGGTCGAGTTGAATATTCCACCTTTTGGCCTCCTTCATGCTCCATTCACCATCTCCTACACCCTTGAAAACAAAACCCCTCTTCCTCAGGTTGGTGTTTCGTCCTCCACTTAGTAATGGATACTTATCCGGCTTAAGCATTTTCTGATTGATTGCAGGAGCTTAATTTACAATTGGAATCAACTGAGAGTTTTGCATTCTGCGGTGTTCAGCTGTCTTCTCTTCGACTCTTGCCAAATTCATCGAGGAAATTGGACTTCACTCTATTGCCACTTCGCACCGGTTACCTTCAGCTTCCTAGGTAAGCTATGGCAACTGAGATGTTATCGATATATAAAAGACCTAATGACTTATACGTGATTGGGCCATAATTAAGAATTAATTGGACTTAATTCAATGATAATAGCATCTAATTAAAATATTAAAAAAAATTATACAACCCCATAATTTGAACAATGTCAGTCATGCTCAAACGTCGATAAGGCTACTGTTACGTTCCTTTGTTTGAATGCATATTAGCCTTGCAGTTGGAGAGTTGAATTGGGCGGCCCATATTGATCAGCTTGAGGTTTTTTTAATCGGGTTGACTTTTCACTTCCTTCTCATCCAAATTGTTCCCCCAAAAGTGACGCGTATTCGCTTGGAGAGCCAATTTATATATTCGCTTTCGGTGTACTTCGTCACCAGTACTATTATGCCAATTTTTTTCCGCGGCATTTGAATGAACTTATGGGTTTAAAGGACGGGAAGTTAATTTTTACCAATCTCCTTTCAGCGAATTAATAGAGGAGGGTGTTGCTTGGTCTTCTGCAATATTCCCCCTTCTGAAGTGTTCCAATTTTCGAGAGTATTGGTACTAAAAAGAGTTTATAGTTTTTTTTCCTATTTTATTTGCAACGTTTTCATTGTACCTTGAGCTTATGTCCTCTTTGTTGAGCTTCTGTTCTGTTAAACACACACACACACACACACACAACCCCAATGGGTGGCATCTTACAAAGCTGCCAATTGAACCTTACTCAACTTAGTTGTTGCTCATTTTAGACGCTAGATATGCGCCAGTTGATTTCCAACCTCTGTTGTCTGATTTGACAGATTGACACCATGTTACTGCATCAAGGATCCAACAACTCAGTTTGCATATTTTCGAATGCTAGACTCTAATGACTTCAGTTAATACTTTGAAATGTCGCCTAGAATGTGAGACCCTCTACAGTACTTAAGGAGTTAATGTGGCCAGGAACCCAACCACTACGGCGGGAAGCTGATTTTTAACTGCCTCCTCATTTGAACATGATACACGTGACTTCTTTGCGTTTGAATTGGGTTCATTTTTTCGTAACACGTCTCGTAAAAATGGACGCCTTTAAGTGATCTGCCTTAATCCAAATAAAATGAGTGGATTGGTTCATTCTCTCGTCAAAGGGGTTAAAGTTTTGTCAAGTCAACTTTGACTTGTCCACTTTTATCGACCCACCTCGATGGGATTTAATTATGTGAGTGGCTTTAATGCCTTTTGCACAAAAATGAGGGGGGGGGGGTCCTAATGTGTCCTTGTGATTTGGTACTATGTCCAGCCAGTAGCATGTATTAAACTCTGATTAGAGATTTTTCCTACTTTTTGGCCCAATTCTTGGGGTGAAGGTCATAGTGTCTTCTACCATTGGAGTTCAAGGTAGCCCCTTATTAGGTACTCAACTCAAGCTACTCCTTCTTTGATCTTAATAGCTGACCATATTTTTGATCTCAAGCATTTTTCGGACTTATAAGATTATGATTAATATCTCAAATGCTGATGTTTTAACCGCCTTATTGTTCGGGACTTTCAATAGTTTCATGTTGTCGTGGCGTTGCTCATTTCTGCTAACATTGTCAAGATTTCGCTTGAGGCTTGAGGTGTGTTACAGTTAGAAGAATGGGAATAGATTTTGTTGAGCGGGGTTCACCCATGATGACGTCGGCCCCACTGGAGGCTTCGTTGTCCTCCCACTTTGCCACTTCAAATGACTTTTGATTTACCTAGAGATGTCTTGCTATTAAGATAAGATTATAACATAAATAAGGAATGATAACTATTGTAAATGCTAGAAATCGTTTTTTATTTAAGTTAAAGCGATATCAGACCAATCAACGTTGCCTTAATTAGCACTTTATTAGTTAATAGAGCTCCTCCTCAATCTTGCTCTATTCATCTAGGTGTAAAACGGAAGTTTTGCCGATATAGGTAACGAAAACTTGAATTCGAGTTGTGTCAGGGAAAACAATAAAGAGAGCTGAGACATTTTGGTAGGCATTGACGATATTGATTCAAAATTTAAAAACGCACTCTATTTACAATCATTGTAAGTAAAGATGACTTAACAATTGGAATTGAGACTAATGCTGTCACGGACCGCTAACATTCCATATCATAAGCATTCATACGGTTGGATGTGGATTTTCATCTGTCATAATTGAGTCGGAACGCTCCTATGAGACAACTTACGTAGATATATACAAAATCGATTCCAGAGTCCACTCTTTACTGAGCAGCCATCATTCATATTTATTAATCTTAAATATCTCTCGTCTGATGTCTTGTTAAACTCAATCGAAATTCTAATTTTTCATGACTGTAGTCTTCACTGTCGGGTTTATATTCGATCGGAAGTCTCTGACGCCTGTCTTTCCTTCATTCAAACGTATGATACGTCGCATTCCGTGAACTTCGTTTAGAGTACAACGTCATGGAATTGTTTTTAGGAAAATCTGGGTTTTATCAGATAAAGTTTTTTTTATATTCGATTAATCTTGATATTGACATCGATACTCTCATTCAACTTTCAATTGCAAAGAGTTATCTGAATACAAGGTAGAGTAAATGGTGAGCTAGGGAACTCTGAACTCTGAAGTCAACACCAGGCTTCCTACACCGTAGATCATCTGCAGTAAAGACTTTTAAATGTTTCCAATATTTATTTATTTATATCAAATAGCCGTCGTTTCGATGGTTATCATTAGCCCTTTAGTTGACTTCAGTCTTCACAGAGGGAAAGGAACATCAAAGTGAAAAAAGTCGGGACGGGGGGAGGACAGAATAGTGTTTCAAAGACGAAGGTAGAAAAAAGGTGAGGTGAGTACTGTGAAAGTAGTCGAATATGACATACAGTGGGGTGATGATGGTTTGGAGTCAGAAGTCAACTGCCGGTTAATAGACTTTTTTGCCGTATGAGTATACGTTACCCAGGATGCACCACGTGGAGAGGTAAGTCTATCGCACACCCCAAATCACTTGACAAAAGGGGCGGTGGTTCCTAGTTCCTGGCATTTGCATAAAGGTTTTGTTTTCTGTCGTCAAATG